AGGAGGAAGTGCATGCATTCAACACCTTATTACACATGATAACTGATGGACAAGTCTGCCGACATGAACGTAGGTCCGAACTGAAAGAGTTGATATCCATTGTGATGATCATTTGAGTTAATTATATTTGGCCTGTAATTAGCATTTCCTCAAAGTAATTTCAACGGCAGCAATGACTCCAGTAAATTTAAATGAACATAATAAAGAATCTGAATTTTCATACTTTACTTTTAGCAACTACTATGACAATCAAAATGCAACTAATGAAGAGACTTGAAATACTGATGAAAAAATAAAAGCAATAGTAACATTAATATTGGTAATAACTATAAATAGATGAGGGGAGCATGGCGAGAAAGGAGGAGGAGGAGGAGGGAGAGGCAAGGAAGATGGAGATAAAAGGAAGGCGGAGGATAATGCGAGGAAAAGGGGAAGGGAGGGCGAGGGCGAGGGGTAAAAGGAAGCGACAGAGAGAGAAAAGAGAGAGATATATGTGAGATACGAATAAGGGGCCAGAGGGAAAAGGTTCTAAACACAAGGATTCATGCAATATTAAATGCCGCCTCTCTTTCTTTCTTTCTTTCTGCCTATTGCACCTCAGAAAATTTACACCGGTTAAAGATATGATATTAAAACTATTTTTTTCACGAAAACAAAAACAGTGCATCAGATACTCGATATTCCCTTCAGATTGCTTTCTTGAACTAAAGAACAATTGCACTACTGATAATGATGATGAGATGATGATAAGGATAATGGTAACAAATGATAGTGGTAATAATAAGATGGAATTTCAGGGAATCCACGGCCAAAAAATACTGTTACAACTATTATGATGATGTGTAAGACAATACTCATGATAATTATACATTATTTTGTTAGGATATAATGTCACTAATAAATGATCCTTTGACCAGAGCCGCTTCCTCTTCTTCCATTACTGATAAAAACAACATAAAATAATTTTTTAAAAATCGCGGAGCTCCTCTGCTATTACCCCCCATTCTCTCCCTCCCTCCCCCTTCCCTCTTCTCCTTTCTTCGTCTCTTTTACCCTCTACTTCTCTCCCACTCCTTTCTCTCGTCGTCCTACCTCCCTTTTCCTCGCCCTATCCTCCCTCCGTCCCATCCCTATCCTACCTTATTACTTTCACTCATTGCAACTTACATAATTGTCATCGAAATTATCCATTAATTACAAGCAAATTAATCAGAAGCGAAAATTACGTAAGAAGATAGATAATAAAAATCAATTATAAGAAAACAATAGATTAACAATGCTAGCGAAACCTACAACTTTATCTAACATCAAAATGCCATTCAAGACCGGTGCTTAGAAATATAGATGAAATAAGAATATAAAAGAAGAGAAAAAGAAATAAAGAAACCCGGACCAACTGCGTCCGTCGTCTCTGAAATGTTCGCTTCCAGGTCCGCTCCCTTGTTCAGCCACTGCGAAGTGACCTTCGCTCCTGCGACTTGGTGCAGGGAAAAAAGGGAGAAACTTGGGTTAATTTTCCCATTTCCGGAAGACAAAATATTGCAAACAGAAAATGCATAACGATGAATGTGTCACAAATAGTAAAAGATAAATTTATGAAAAATTGGACATGTAGATTTAAAGACCAATGAAAAAAATATATATTTTCACCCTTAATATCGTCAGTGGAGTTGAGGCCAAGAACACAGTTTTAAAGAATAAATAAGAAGAATTTAGGAATTTTTTGTGATATTCAAAATGTGTTTATTTTCATGCTAATTGAAATATTGAATACAAATGAGGAAAACATACATTCATACAAGCATGAAATAGATATCTATATTTTTTTTTTTCCTTTATATGCATTATTTATACATACGTATGTATCATATATATATATATATATATATATATATATATATATATATATATATATATATATATATATATATATATATATATATATATATATATATATATATATATATATATATATATATATATATATATATATATATATATATATATATATATATATATATATATATATATATATATATATATATATATATATATATATATATATATATATATATATATATATATATATATATATATATATATATATATATATATATATATATATATATATATATATATATATATATATATATATATATATATATATATATATATTTATACATTCATAAACATAAAATATATAAGTGCATATATGCATACACATGTACTTCTATATCTATGCATATATTTATATATACATATATATAAATGTATATATATATGTATATATATATATATATATATATATATATATATATATATATATGTATATATATATATATATATATATATATATATATATATATATATATATATATATATATATATATATATTATATATATATATATATATATATATATATATATATATATATATATATATATATATATATAGTATGAATTTATGAAAGTGACGGAGCGACGTTCAAAGTGTTCAGTTTACTGTGATTTAAAAATGCAATGGTGCCAGTTGTACAAACTTATTCCGTAAATATTTGATAACTGTGACTTTCTTGTACAATCCTAGTGCCTGTCCTTTCATGTACCTTTATGAATTTATTTATTTTTTTTGGCTCCTCTTTCAATATTGCAATTTGATAAATAGCATACGCGGCAATTCTATGCTCACATCTGGCACAAGCACATCACATGCATGTCTACTTCATAAGTTTATTATTATTAACCTCATTCCGTTTCTTTTGAAGGCAGAGAAAATGAACAGAAAATCATGCATTGGCAACACACCAAAGGCGGGAACCTGGAGCTCTGATCCAGAGACGTGCCCCCCCCCCCCCCCCCCCCCCGTCTAGAGAGAGGAGAGAAAGAGATTAAACAAAGCAACTGCAACTGATACTATTCATCATACCAGTTGTAATAGTAGTAATAATAATCACAACATACACAAAGGTCTACGCGTCAAAAAGTGTTCTCGCCCCAGTTACCCATAAATATGTTCATTAATGTTTTGTTCATTTAAACTTTGATCTACAACATAAGCATCAATATGTTTATGTTAATGCACTACACTCATGAGGTTTTTTGTGCATTGGTATGAGTTTACAATTGTTTTATTATAGATGAAAGTTTGAATTAACAAGACAGTTAAAAAACTTATTTCCGGGCAATTGGTCTGAGAACACCTTCGGACGGCACGCACTCAAATGATCATGATAACGATGATAAAAAATTGGTGATAATGGCAATTCCATAGGACGGGGGCAGGGAAAAAAAAAAAAAAAAAAAAAAAAACAGGGTGATATTGCCAGGAAGTTTAGGGAAATCTTGTTAGTTCAACCATGAACATCATCATTGCCATTTGCATCATCCTTATAATTCCTAGTAGTCATAAAATGATTCACATCATTATGTTTATTACCATGGACATCATTCAAATCTTTGCTTTCATCATTAGTCACACTATGATTAGCATCATATCCTCCTATTTTCTATTCTTCTACTTAATGAAGATAAGAACAGGAATCATATCCATCATATTCGTAATAACTTTAAGAACTCTGATTATTATAATGATTAATGCTGTTCCCGAAATATTGGTAATTCTCCATATTCTCATGCTGATTGTAATTGCTTCTAAATATTTTCATTAATATCATAAGAACCTCATTAGCGACATGAAGATAATCCTTATTCATGTTAGTGTTCCCTTAATCACGACTGTGATTGTTATTGTCTTTTTGCTGCTGCTTCTTTCTGTTCTTATTCTTATCTTTGCTTCATCATAGACATTTTCATCCTTAGCATTACACATCGACCTTATTATTGCTTGTTGTTGATATTATCAGCGCCACTATTCTTCCTATTCATACTCCTTCTCTAATTCTTTGTCTCGCTTTTACAATTGTTTCATCATTATTATATCTCCTATTATTATCATGATAATAGATATTACTATTATTATTTGATTGTGATTCCCACAACAAATATTTATAACAGTTATAATCATTTGTATATGCATATGTTTGTGTATAAGTGCATGTGAGAAGATTCACATATGAGAAGTATGTAAGATCATGTACATTATGCAGAATATAAACAATAAATACAAAGGATAATATCATGCACATCTCAGTAATATGATACAGACCGCTGGGTTACAATTAGACAGACAGAGAAAGAAGGAGGGAGGAGAGAAGATGAGAGGTGAAAGAGAGGAAGAGAGAGAGAGAGAGAAAATGAAACAGCTAGAGATAGAGAGCTAAACAAACAAGGAGACGGAGGGAGAGGGGCTATATGGAGCGATCATTGCAAGATGAACAGCCTATGTGATTTTAAGTCCATGGTGAGAATATGTTAAGATTCGCAGAAATATCTGGACACTTTTTATTAGCTGATAAAAATCCAATACACACCGCCGCCACACACGGCTCATGATTGTAATGCTATTCACTATCACTACATTATCTATTCCCTGCCATCTCCACTCTCCGGGATGACAGACTCACTGCACAATATTTTTAATTCGCGAATAAATAAAGTCACTCTGAAGATGAAGCCATTTTGATATATATTTTTCATTCTATTTCATACCGGTCAGATATCATGACATAAACTTATCTAACCTCCCAGAGTGCAAGGCTTTATTGTCAGGTCAAGGGCAAACAGTTCAAACAGGTTTAGTAAAAATCTGTATTCAGATGAACGAAGTTTTGACCTTGCAAGTCTGTGCTACTGGTTGTGCAGTAAGTATCCTGTTGTATGCTTCTGTGTACACACTTGTGGTATTCAAATATTTTGGCGCTCCTGGAATCCTGGTCAGCGCCGAATGCGTTGAGCAACAAGTCCTTATGTGTCTAAGACTTAAACACTAAGGTTCTTCTAGTTTTTACAACAGTGGATACTATAACAGATTCAGTTTTATGGCCATAGTAATTACTGGTAGTAGTGATTTACAAGAAACTAAATCAGTAGCCACAACGAACTAATAATGTAGTCCATAACAGGAATGACGATGCCAAACTCCAGCTCTGCCTGGCCTGTCATGCATCTCTCGATCCCGCTCACTGACAAGGTTTAATTAGGCTGAAACTGTTGTGAGGCTTGGAAGGACCTCGTGAAACTGACTCCTTTCTGTAGCTCCCCGCGACTCTGCAACGCGCGCCCGTCTGGCACTGCTCGCCGCCCTCCGCCCACACCCTGCGGCGTGGAGGCGGAGAGGAGCTCGGCGTCACCAGCAGGCGCGTGAGGCTGCAGCCCCGCGGCGGCCATGAGGAGCAGCGATTCCTCGAGCCCAATGGCGCCGACATTCCTCAAGGCTGTGGAGTTTTTAAAGCCAGCAGAGTTCTTTGTCAGTTGTGCTTCAATTACGTGAAATGCGGCTCCTCTCCAGCCATATGATTCATACCACATGCACACGCACACACTTAAGCACAAGTATATAAAACCGAGGCAATAATAAAGCGTGTCTGGCTGGGCCTGCAATACGTTAGCAGGTGAATATATGAAAATGTGTTATTTTTTCTGGTATATGTATTAATTTTTGTGTGTTGATGTTTCCTTATCAAATGCGTTTATGTTTCGCGTCTATACATGAATATATGTGCGTGCATGTGTATATTTCTGGCCATACATTAATTCTATGTTCAAAAAGTTTTTTGTGGGGGTACTTCTGCCTGTGTGAGCCAAGGTCAAGTGTTTTTGGTAGGTAAAGTATCTATTTCGGGAGAGCATGTGTTCACGAGTATTTTTTTTTTTTTTTTTTTTTTTTTACCTGTATATCTGGGAATTTCTAAACAGATTTGTGTCTGTGTACAATTAAGGGGGCAGGCAGATAACCAGAAATGAAAGATTATCGAAAAAAGTCGGCAGCACTCAGAGACGTTGTGTTGAAGTCTCCTAGAGGAAACATGTCGAATGTCGTATCCTTTGATCCTCAGTGAAACAATGAAATGATGGAATATTTCATCTATTTCATAATTTTCTTTACGCAACTATTCTTTGGAATGCGTAAATGTTGGTGATTAACATTCTGAAACAAAGATTAATAGCATATAAAAATATCACAAGTTCAGGTTATGATTAGGGACTAACGTCGTCTGAGCGCAGTCATGCCTAAGTGAGAGCATTCAGCATCATGTATTCACTTCGTTAACTGATCCCACTATGCACACTCGGTCTCGATGACTTTGTCTTGAGACAGGCTACATAGCTCGTTTTCTATTGCTATTCGGCAGGTGCTTTCTGCTTGCTCTCCTTCCATGGTAGTTTTACCCCTTCGTCCATGGTGCGAAAAGGCCGACGACCCAGGGGCAGGGAGGAAGAGACGTCAGGGGGAGGAAGGTGAGGGGAGGGGGGAGAAAGAGGGTATAGGGGACAGGCAGGGGATGGGGGCTAGAAGATACGGTTTAATGCAATTTAAAGGGATCGACAGATTTTTTTCCTAAAGTATGTTTATCTTCATTCCCTCTTTGTCTATTTTCCATCATTCTATCCCTTTTTCTCGTTTAATTATATTCGTCTGTAGCAACTTCCTCTTTGCAACAGTGAGGAAATGCTAACGATTCAGCATTAAGAAAAGTGGAAGGGGAGAGGAGAAATGGAAGGAAGGATGAAGTCGAGGGCAGGGTAAGAGGAAGGGAGAAAAGAACAAGTGGAAACGAGATACAGATATCAGATAAAGGTAATGGAAAGGGGAGTGAGAAATCGTATCAGCTGTTGGAAAACGAACGACACTTATTAGCTTCTAAGTCTTGTCCACTTGCCCAGTCACCAGAGTGAGGGAAGGGAGTGGAAGTGAAAGAGGGTGAGGAAATAAGGGAGGAGCATGATAAAAGAATGAAGGGGGGGAGAAGGGACAGCGAGATGAAAGAAAGGAGGCCGAAGAAGGGAATAAAAGGAATGATAATAGGAGAAAGGAACAAGGCAGAAACAACAAAAACCTAAAGGAATGAGAAAGTGAGGACGGCTCACTTTTTCCCTCATCAGTCCTGTCCTGTCGCATCACCTCACTGTCTCTTTCGTCACTCCCTCTCCCTTTCTCTTTCGAATGCATCTTCCAGCTGTTGCTGTCGCTATCATTGTCAGTATAATCATTTCATTTTAATTATTGTCATTATCATTATTAGTAATAATAATGATAGTATCATTACTACTGGTATCATTTATCATTATCGTCGTCTTAGTTATCATTATCATTATGACTACTATCATTATCATTATGTAATTATCATTTTCACTTATATCATCCCTCTTATTGTTATTCTTACCATTACCATTACTATTGTTATCATCATGAATATTGTTATAATCATTGCCATATTCACATTCATTAATAAAGTCATCATCAACAACAATTGCCATATTAATAGAAATAATCATGATAAAAATCAATGTTAACATTAGAGTTTTCATTATCACAAAAACAATTATCTACATTGTTATTATTATTACTATTATCTTCATTTTATTGTCATAACTGTAATAACGATAGGAATAACATAATTATCATTGAAATTGTGATTACTACTCCTATTTATTATTTTCCTGTTCCTACCATTGTTATCATTATTATCAATATCGTTTTTATCATCATATCACTAAATCTACTCTTATGCTGACTCTTTCAGCCTTTAGTCCCCTTGGGACAATCACTCTTTAATGTACTAAGCGAATTAAACCAAATTGGGACGTTTGATACTTCCTTTGTTTGTTGGCTAAGCCTTATTTTTGTTACTGTTAGGTTTGCAAGTCTTTCACGACACAGTGTTTACAATATGCAATACAAAAGCGTGAGTATACCGTTCAGCCAAGTAAATGATAATTCTACGTAATTTGGAAATGATCAATGGCTCTTCTCGCGGCCCAGCCGGAGGCTAGTGCCTTCAAGTCACGCTAAGAAATTTATATGGAGTACCATAGCCATCAGTTTTTCTTCCTCTTTTTTCTTTCTCTGAAGCAACTCTTCGTTGATAATTTGCTTTTTGCAATTTTTATAATGTCACTCTTTCAGCAACTAAAGCAAAACAGTCAATTCTTGATCGTGACATGAATCAATCACCATACTTTTATTCACATCAGTTCATTGCACTAAATTGTCACTTTGCTGAGAATATGACATACATCAATGCACAACAAAGAGGCACAGGTTCTATAGCCTTATTCCCTTGGAATCTAAACCATAAATCCCCATTCCCCTTGGAATCCAAATCTAAATCCCTATTCCTCTTAGAATCCAGACTCTAAATCCCTAACCCCCTTGGAATCTCAACTCTGAATCCCTATTCCATTCGGTCACTGATTAGGGACTACCAAGAGCTTCCATCTGCCTGCGATGAGCATAGACCAAGAGGGAGCATCGGGCAAGGAAGATCATGCGCCCAAATGCCATCGAAAAATAACGAAATCAAGGAAAAGATCTTGCCGTCGCTGATCGGAAGAAAGGGGGAAATATTTCTTAGACAAAATGACTGAATACGAACGAGTCTGCCGATAGGAACGCAGGTCCGGAGTGAAAGATTTGATATCTATTGTCACGCTAATTTTGTTACATATATTTTGCCCTTGATTAGCACTTAGTGGCAGCAATGCCTACATATTATATGACGATACTTATGCAAATATGTATATTAATAATCTGATAGTAGCAGTGTTAACCTAACGTGAAGATAATGACATTATTAACAACAATTGATACAAGAAAGACATAATTATCATAGTTTACTTATACCAACCACTATGACGATCATGAAACAGCTAATGAAGATACTTATAATACTAATGAGGATGATAATGCTACTACTACTACTACTACTGCTACTACTACTAATAATAATAATAATAACCATAGAGAGCTCAGGAGGAGCATGGCGGGAAAGGAGGAGAAAGCAGGGAAGAGGGGAGGGGGGAGAAGGGAGATGCAAGGAAGATGGAGATACAAGGAAGACGGAAGACAATGCGGGGAAAAGGGGAAGGGAGAGGCGAAGGCTCAGGGTAAAGGCAAGCGAGGGAGGAAGAGAGAGAGAAAAAAAAATGAGATTAACGTAAGATACGAATAAGGGGCCAGAGGGAAAAAGTTCTAAACACAAGGACTCATGCAATATTAAATGCCGCCTCACTTTGTTTCTTTCTGTCTATTACAGCTCAGAAAATGTATACCAGCAAAATTATGATAAAAAAAAATTTTTTCACGAAAACACAGTAACAGTGCACCAGTGATACTCGATATTCCCTTTAGATTGCTATCTTGAACTAAAGAACAATTGCAATTCTGATAATGATGAGATGGTGATACTGGTGGGTATGGTGTTAAAGATAATAGTGACAGGCAATAGTAGCAGTGGGTATAATAGGATGGAATTTCAGTGAAACCACGACCAAAAAATACCATTACAGCTATTATGATCATGATCAAAGTAACGCTAATATTAGTTATACATTTTGTTAGGATATAATGGCACTAATAAATGATCCTCTTCTTCCATTACTGATAAAAGCGACATAAAATAAATTATCCCTCTCCCACTCCTTTCTCTCGTCGTCCTACCTCCCTTTTCCTCGCCCTATCCTACCTCCGTCCTATCCCTATCCTACCCGATTACTTTCAGTCATTATAACGAATATTATTTAGACTCGCAGCCATCTGGGCGTATGTGGAGACAAGAAGCTTCACCAATAAAGAAGATCGTGGCAGTAAACAGAATTCACTGTAAACAAGTGAGTAAAAGATTCAACCATCGGAGCATAGGCTTCACTGTGGAAGCATTGCGCTTCTCCTAGGAATTGGCAGTGAACACAAGGCTCGCTGCCTCATCACTATAAGGCTCACAATCGCATGGGACTTATAGTGAGGGTCCGGGAAACAATTTTTATGATGGTTGGAACGTAGGATGCGAAGGGTTGCGAACTTTTCGGAATTCGGGGACACCTTTACTTGCCCAAGTGTTCATGAATATTCACTGATATAAGAAAGAATAAACAAGAAAAGGATGAAATCTCAGGTACCACCTGTAGTAGTCACATCGTTTGATAAACAAACGCATAGAGGTATAACCCATGTCCATCACTAATGAAGAAATAACACTTTACATAATAATTTTAACATTGCATCAGCATCCCATCTTTGGTTAATTACCAAAATCCCTGAAAATCACAATTTCCCTGCCCTCCTCCTGGTTCATTGTGAGTCTCATGCTCATTGCTTGGACAGCGAATCTTGCGTTCACTGCTCATTACTGAGAAGCCTTTTGCTTCAGCAGCGAAGCCTAAGCTTCGATAAAAGAGCTTCATACATTCGCTGCCACGACCCTCTCTTCTCGTGAAGCTTGTCTCCACGTCACCACTAATGGCTTTGAGTTTGAATGATATGTTCTTTGATATGGTATTAATTGTGACTAAAATCATATCAAATGAACATAGTTATCCCAATGCTTTAATCTGAATTTGTTCAGTTGATTAATGTTACAAATGCTGAAACACAGCACCATCGTCATCATGATTACCTTTTTTATACTCAGTATAATTATTACTATCGATACTGATAGTCATACCATTAGTTAATACTACAGGCATTAAAACTCATCAATATCCATTATCATTATCCTAGTTATTGGATTAATATCATGGATGTGAATACCGTTTGTAAATATAATTACAATGATAAAAATCATTTCAGTTTTTGATGATCCGTAAGCGTTGGTAATTAACATTTTGGTAGAGCAATTAAGAGCACATAAAATATCAAATTTCAGCTCATAATTAGGGGCCAACGTCGTACTCCCTGACTCTGCCTTAAATGGGCATTTCTGAGCGCAGTCATGGGTATGTGAGAGCATTCAGCATCATGTTCTCACTTCGTTCGTCTTCGTGCTTTCTGCTTGCTCTCCTTCCATGGCAGTTTTACCCCTTCATCCATGGTGCGAAAGGCCGACGACCCAGCGGCAGGGAGGAAGGGGGACAAGGGATAGGCAAGGGGGGGGAGCGAAAAAAATATGATTAAATGTAGTATAAAGGAATAATTTGATATTTTGCCTTAAGTTCTATTTTTATCTTAGTTCTCCATTCATCCTTTTTCCTTCAATCTGTCCCTTTTCTCTCGTTTAATTACTTTCGCCTTTAGCAATTTCCTCACAGCAACAGTGAGGAAAAGCTAAGGATCCAGCATTAAGAAAGTGGAAGGGGAGAAGGAGAATGGAAGGAAGGATGAGGTCGAAGGAAGGGCCAAGAGGAAGGAGAGGGGACAGAGAAGGGAGAAAAGAACTCATGGGAAGGAAAGAGATGGAGATATCAGGTAAGGTAGATGGAAGGAGTGAAAAACTGTGTCAGCTGTTGTTGGAAATCGAACGAGTTTTTTACTTCTAGATCTTGTCCACTTCACTCCAGTTATCAGAGTAACTGATGAGAGTGAAAGTAAAAAGAGGGGGGGGAAATAAGGGAGGAGCATGATGAAAATAAATAAAAAGGGGAACAAAGAAGGGGAGAGCGTGATGAAAGAAAGAGGAGAGACCGGAGTAGGGAACAAGAGATAAAAGAGCTGGTGGGAAGGAACAAGGGAGAAACAACAAAAAGCTAAAGGAACGAAAAAGTGAGGACAGTTTATTTTCCTCCTCGTCAGTCCCGTTCAATTCACCGCATCACCTCCTCTCCGCCTCTTTTGCCTCACTCCCTCTCCCTTTCTCTTTCTTATGCCTCTTCCAGCAGTTATTACTACCTTCATTATCATTATGATTTCTTTTTAATTATTGCCATTATCATAATCTAATATCAACTATTATTATCATAATTTCATTTCAATTAATTATCATTATCATAATTTCGTTTTGATTATTACCATTATCATTATTTGTAGTGTTAATGGTATTGGTATTGTTTCGATTGTTATTATCATTGCCGTCGTCAACATTATCATTATTATTATGGCTATTATCATTATAATCATTAATGTCCTCCTTTTCATTATTAATATCATCATCCTTTCCATTGTTATTTTCATCATAACCATTACTATCATTATCGTTATGAATATCGTTATGATAATTGCCATATTCACTATAACAATATTTTAAAAACAACAATAGTGACTAATAATATATATCAATAATGATAAGAATAATAATAAAAATGATATTAATACTACTGTTATCATTATTATAATAATAATAATATTAAATTCCAAAATTACTATTACTATTATCTTTATGAATATATTGTCATTATAACCATAATAGTAATTGTTAAGTAGTTATCATTATTGTATTTGATACTATTACTATTGTCATTATTTTCCTGTTCTTATCATTATCATCATTATTATTAATATTACCTTCTTCATCATATTTCTACCACCACTTGGAAAATAAAGCCCCACCTCACGCTCCCTTCAACCAACCGCTCTGTTTATGTACAAAGCGAATTAAACAAATTGGGGCGTTTAATACTTTGTTTTTTCCCTAAGCAATCATTCTGCTGCTGTTAGGTTTGCAGGTCTTTGAAAAAGTTACAACAGTTTCTAAAATATACGATATAATATCGCGATGGTACCATTAAGCCTGGTAATTGTCAATTCGAAATAGTTTGGAAATGGCCGATGGCTACTCTCGCGGCCCAGCGGGAGGCTAGTGCCTTCAGGTCCCGTCAGGAGGAAAGCCTTGCGTGGAATACCGCGTCCCTCCGTGTTATTGTTCAAGGAACTCTTGGTGGGTAGATTTGCTTTTAGTAATTTACATAGTTTCAATCTTTCTGTAACTAAAGTAAAACATGACATTAATCAATCAATCGCATTTTCATTCACATCAGTTCATGGTACTGCATTGCCATTTTCCTGAAAACATGGCATACTTCATTTGCAAGAACGAAGCACAAAAATCTAAATCCCTCAATTGAACAAATGGACCAAGAGGGAAATGAGCTCCTGAGTATAATTACCAAAGCACATTAATCAAGTTAATGGCAGTGTCTTGCCGTCACTCACGAAAAAAGGAGGAAGTGCATGCATTCAACACCTTATTACACATGATAACTGATGGACAAGTCTGCCGACATGAACGTAGGTCCGAACTGAAAGAGTTGATATCCATTGTGATGATCATTTGAGTTAATTATATTTGGCCTGTAATTAGCATTTCCTCAAAGTAATTTCAACGGCAGCAATGACTCCAGTAAATTTAAATGAACATAATAAAGAATCTGAATTTTCATACTTTACTATTAGCAACTACTATGACAATCAAAATGCAACTAATGAAGAGACTTGAAATACTGATGAAAAAATAAAAGCAATAGTAACATTAATATTGGTAATAACTATAAAAGATGAGGGGAGCATGGCGAGAAAGGAGGGAGGAGGAGGAGGAGAGGCAAGGAAGATGGAGATAAAAGGAAGGCGGAGGATAATGCGAGGAAAAGGGGAAGGGGAGGCGAGGGCGGAGGGTAAAAGGAAGCGACAGAGAGAGAAAAGAGAGAGATATACGTGAGATACGAATAAGGGGCCAGAGGGAAAAGGTTCTAAACACAAGGATTCATGCAATATTAAATGCCGCCTCTCTTTCTTTCTTTCTTTCTGCCTATTGCACCTCAGAAAATTTACACCGGTTAAAGATATGATATTAAAACTATTTTTTTCACGAAAACAAAATAACAGTGCAGCAGATACTCGATATTCCCTTCAGATTGCATTCTTGAACTAAAGATCATTTGCACTATTTATAATGATGAGGAAATGGTGATGAAGATAATAGTAACAAATGATAGTAGGAATGGTAATAATGAGATGGGATCTCAGTGAAACCACGACTAAAAATACTATAATGATATCGAGAAAAGTAATACTACTGTTGATTATACATTATGTTGCTAAGATATAATGGCACTAATGAATGATCCTTTGGCCAGAGCTGCTCTCCTATTTTTCCATTGCTGATAAAAGCAACATGAAATAATTTATTAGAGATCGTGGAGCTCCTCTCCTATGACCCACATTTTCTCCCCCTCCCCCTTCCCCTTCCCTCTTCCCACTGTGCTTTAGTCGCCTCTTTTCCCTTCTACTTCTACGCGCATTATCCCTCTCCCACTCCTTTCTCTCGTCGTCCTACCTCCCTTTTCCTCGCCCTATCCTACCTCCGTCCTATCCCTATCTTACCCTATCACTTTCAATCATTATAACTTACATAATTGTCATCGAAATTATCCATTAATTACACGCAAATCAATCAGAAGCAAAAATATTGTTGTATAATGTATAATAAGAATAATCTTTATAATGTTAAAACCAATACATCAACAATGGTAGCGAAACCTACAATTTAAATCGAACATCAAAATGACAATCACGACCGGTGCTTAGAAATATAGATGAAATAAGAATATAAAAGAAGAGAAAAAAATAAAGAAACCCGGACCAACTGCGTCCGTCGTCTCTGAAATCGCCTTACCAGAGTCCATTTCAGAGGCGAAGTGCAGGGGAGTCCACTCTGTAAAAGGGAGAAACTTGGGTTAATTTTCCCATTTCCGGAAGACAAAATATTGCAAACAGAAAATGCATAACGATGAATGTGTCACAAATAGTAAAAGATAAATTTATGAAAAATGGAACATGTAGATTTAAAGACCAATGAAAAAAATAATATATTTTCACCCTTAATATCGTCAGTGGAGTTGAGGCCAAGAACACAGTTTTAAAGAATAAATAAGAAGAATTTAGGAATTTTTTGTGATATTCAAAATGTGTTTATTTTCATGCTAATTGAAATATTGAATACAAATGAGGAAAACATACATTCATACAAGCATGAAATAGATATCTATATTTTTTTCTTTCCTTTATATGCATTATTTATACATACGTATGTATCATATATATATATATATATATATATATATATATATATATATATATATATATATATATATATATATATATATATATATATATATATATATATATATATATATATATATATATATATATATATATATATATATATATAATATATATATATATATATATATATATATATATATATATATATATATATATATATATATATATATATACATACATACATATATATATATATATATATATATATATATATATATATATATATATATATATATATATATATATAATACATATTTATACATTCATAAACATAAATATATAAGTGCATATATGCATACACATGTACTTCTATATCTATGCATATATTTATATATACATATATATAAATGTATGTTTATATATGTATATATATGTATTATATATGTATTATATATTATAGTATTATATTATATATATATATATATATATATATATATATATATATATATATATATATATATATATATATATATATATATATATATATATATCAATTTATATGTATGAATTTATGAAAGTGACGGAGCGACGTTCAAAGTGTTCAGTCAACGGAGTTACTGTGATTTAAAAATGCAATGGTGCCAGTTGTACAAACTTATTCCGTAAATATTTGATAACTGTGACTTTCTTGTACAATCCTAGTGCCTGTCCTTTCATGTACCTTTATGAATTTATTTATTTTATTTGGCTCCTCTTTCAATATTGCAATTTGATAAATAGCATACGCGGCAATTCTTATGCTCACATCTGGCACAAGCACATCACATGCATGTCCACTTCATAAGTTTATTATTATTAACCTCATTCCGTTTCTTTGAAGGCAGAGAAAATGAACAGAAAATCATGCATTGGCAACACACCAAAGGCGGGAACCTGGAGCTCTGATCCAGAGACGTGCCCCCCCCCCCCCCCCGTCTAGAGAGAGGAGGAGAGGAAAGAGATTAAACAAAGCAACTGCAACTGATACTATTCATCATACCAGTTGTAATAGTAGTAGTAATAATAATCACAACATACACAAAGGTCTACGCGTCAAAAAGTGTTCTCGCCCCAGTTACCCATAAATATGTTCATTAATGTTTTGTTCATTTAAACTTTGATCTACAACATAAGCATCAATATGTTTATGTTAATGCACTACACTCATGAGTTTTTTGTGCATTGGTATGAGTTTACAATTGTTTTATTATAGATGAAAGTTTGAATTAACAAGACAGTTAAAAAACTTATTTCCGGGCAATTGGTCTGAGAACACCTTCGGACGGCACGCACTCAAATGATCATGATAACGATGATAAAAAATTGGTGATAATGGCAATTCCATAGGACGGGGGCAGGGAAATGAAAAAAAAAAAAAAAAACAGGGTGATATTGCCAGGAAGTTTAGGGAAATCTTGTTAGTTCAACCATGAACATCATCATTGCCATTTGCATCATCCTTATAATTCCTAGTAGTCATAAAATGATTCACATCATTATGTTTATTACCATGGACATCATTCAAATCTTTGCTTTCATCATTAGTCACACTATGATTAGCATCATATCCTCCTATTTTCTATTCTTCTACTTAATGAAGATAAGAACAGGAATCATATCCATCATATTCGTAATAACTTTAAGAACTCTGATTATTATAATGATTAATGCTGTTCCCGAAATTGGTAATTCTCCATATTCTCATGCTGATTGTAATTGCTTCTAAATATTTTCATTAATATCATAAGAACCTCATTAGCGACATGAAGATAATCCTTATTCATGTTAGTGTTCCCTTAATCACGACTGTGATTGTTATTGTCTTTTGCTGCTGCTTCTTTCTGTTCTTATTCTTATCTTTGCTTCATCATAGACATTTTTATCCTTAGCATTACACATCGACCTTATTATTGCTGTTGTTGTTGATATTATCAGCGCCACTATTCTTCTATTCATACTCCTTCTCTAATTCTTTGTCTCGCTTTTACAATTGTTTCATCATTATTATATCTCCTATTATTATCATGATAATAGTGATATTACTATTATTATTGTGATTGTGATTCCCACAACAAATATTTATAACAGTTATAATCATTTGTATATGCATATGTTTGTGTATAAGTGCATGTGAGAAGATTCACATATGAGAAGTATGTAAGATCATGTACATTATGCAGAATATAACAATAAATACAAAGGATAATATCATGCACATCTCAGTAATATGATACAGACCGCTGGGTTACAATTAGACAGACAGAGAAAGAAGGAGGGAGGGAGAGAAGATGAGAGGTGAAAGAGAGGAAGAGAGAGAGAGAGAGAAATGAAACAGCTAGAGATAGAGAGCTAAACAAACAAGGAGACGGAGGGAGAGGGGAGCTATATGGAGCGATCATTGCAAGATGAACAGCCTATGTGATTTTAAGTCCATGGTGAGAATATGTTAAGATTCGCAGAAATATCTGGACACTTTTTATTAGCTGATAAAAAACCAATACACACCGCCGCCACACACGGCTCATGATTGTAATGCTATTCACTATCACTACATTATCTATTCCCTGCCATCTCCACTCTCCGGGATGACAGACTCACTGCACAATATTTTCAATTCGCGATTAAATGACGTCACTCTGAAGATGAAGCCATTTTGATATATATTTTCATTCTATTTCATACCGGTCAGATATCATGACATAAACTTATCTAACCTCCCAGAGTGCAAGGCTTTATTGTCAGGTCAAGGGCAAACAGTTCAAACAGGTTTAGTAAAAATCTGTATTCAGATGAACGAAGTTTTGACCTTGCAAGTCTGTGCTACTGGTTGTGCAGTAAGTATCCTGTTGTATGCTTCTGTGTACACACTTGTGGTATTCAAATATTTTGGCGCTTCCTGGAATCCTGGTCAGCGCCGAATGCGTTGAGCAACAAGTTATGTGTCTAAGACTTAAACACTAAGGTTCTCTTCTAGTTTTTACAACAGTGGATACTATAACAGATTCAGTTTTATGGCCATAGTAATTACTGGTAGTAGTGATTTACAAGAAACTAAATCAGTAGCCACAACGAACTAATAATGTAGTCCATAACAGGAATGACGATGCCAAACTCCAGCTCTGCCTGGCCTGTCATGCATCTCTCGATCCCGCTCACTGACAAGGTTTAATTAGGCTGAAACTGTTGTGAGGCTTGGAAGGACCTCGTGAAACTGACTCCTTTCTGTAGCTCCCCGCGACTCTGCAACGCGCGCCCGTCTGGCACTGCTCGCCGCCCTCCGCCCACACCCTGCGGCGTGGAGGCGGAGAGGAGCTCGGCGTCACCAGCAGGCGCGTGAGGCTGCAGCCCCGCGGCGGCCATGAGGAGCAGCGATT